CTCAAGGATGTCTCTGTAAGGGGCCAGGGTTTACCCATCCTTGTAGAGCAGTGCCATAGCATGTGGCTATGACCCTGGTCTCCAGCTTGCCTGGACTCCCAGTGTGGCTCTGCCATTTGTCAGCTGGGTGATCTTAGGCATTTTACATAATTTACATTCCTGGCTTCAGTTTTTATTTATTTATTTTTTGGAGTAAATTAGAACAAAAATAACATTTGTCTCATTGCATTGTTGAGAGGAGTAAGTGAAACATACAGAGAGTGGACAGTGCCTGACTTAGCGTAGCTACACAGAGCGTCAGCTCTCAGTGTCTTCATTGGCTTTCTCATCAGCACCAACAGCATCGTCATCGCCATCCTTTACTCTTGTTCATTCACCAGTACTCTCAGAATGTGACTGTGAGCCAGACACTGCTCTACATGCTGGGATTACAGCAACGACACAGGTCAGGTCCCTGCCCTTGTGCTGTCCATGCTCAGGGAGAGGGAAATGGAGACAAGCCAGCAAACAGAGAAGACAGAGTGACGGACAGATCCTGTGATCGAAAGGGACCCAGAGCCTCTCAGAAGTATTTTTAAGTTCTTTCCCTCCCCCTCCCTTCCCCCTCCCCTCTTCCTCCTCCTCCTCCTCCTCCTTCTGTGTGTATATGGCGGGATTGAAGGTGCTTGACACAACTGTCCAGCAATATGCAGCCCAAACTCAGGATCCTCTTGCCTCCATCTCCTTCAGCAAATCCTACCAGTGTGTGTCACCTCAACGGTCTGGCTTTTTTTTTCTTCCCCCCATTGGATCACTTTTTACTACCGACACTGGCTCTGGATAGAGGCCTTAGGCACAGCATACCCCTCCCCGCAGGAGCAAATTCATGAGTACTGTGCACCAGGGCTTTGCCATACTCCCCCAGTGACTCTTTGTTCTCCACGGGTCTTCCCTCAAAGCTCAACCAGAATTGGTCTTCCTGTACTTGCTCCTGCTGGGACACCTGCCTCTTAAGCTCTGTGTCAGCCGGACCTCATAAATGGTGCTGTGGCCCCTAATATTCTTCACCAGGATGCTCAGAGGGTTGTTGCAATTCTGCATCATCAGCGTGACTGTGCTGTCAGAGATGAGAGTACCATTCTCTTGGAGCATCTCACCACTTTGGTTGGCCAGGCGCTGCTGGAAAGCTGGCACGCCGGTCTTCTGGGCCATCTGCGTCTTCAGCTCTGACACTGTCGTGGAGTTAGTCAGGGACACCAGGAATGCATCACCCTCCAGCATCTCCACCTCCAGGTTCCAGGTCATGGCTGTAGGCTTTAGCACTTGGCCCCCTTGCAGGAACTGATGAGTTTGCTTGTCTCAGCTTCTGGCTGCTCCCTGGCAACAGTCTGGTTTTTGTTCTTAAAGATATTTATTTATTTATTTATTTATTTATTTATTTATTTATTCATTCATTCATTTTTTGAGACAGGGTTTCTCTGTGGAGCCCGGGCTGTCCTGGAACTCTCTCTGTAGACCACGCTGGCTTTGAACTCACAGAGATCCACCTGCCACTGCCTTCTACGTGTAGGGATTAAAGGTGTGTGCCACCAACACCAGGCAAGACATTTTTAAATTTAAAATTATATTTGATCCAGGCATGATAATTAGGTCCTGAGCAACTTCTTCCACAGTATTTATCAGTGTACCCACTATCTTTCATGTTTCATAAATAATGATCTAGTCATTATTTATCAATAATCTTAAGAATATCCCACTCAAATCTAAAACTCCTGAGTGGGGCGTTGGTGACACATGCCTTTAATCCCAGCACTTGGGAGACAGAGACAGGCGGATCTCTGTGAGTTAGAGGCCAGCCTGGTCTACAAAGTGAGTTCCAGGACAGCCAGGACTATACAGAGAAACGTTGTCTTGAAAAACAATCAAATAAACAAAATTACATTTGTGCGTGTGTGTGTGCGCGCGCGCACACTCTTGTACCATGGTGCGTGTGTGGAGGTCAGAAGACATCATACAGAAATTAGTTCTCACTTTCCACAGCTTGGGCCTCAGGGATTGAACTCATTACACCAGGCTTGGCTGTAAGTGTTTTACTGAGGCACTTTGTGAGACCTTTAGCGAGACAGGGCTCACCTCTTTCCTTGTCTCTATAACACACTTTGAAGATTCTTGCCTAATCATCCTCCTAACAAGCTCTTTGAGAGCCATGATGGTTAGCACTGATGGTCCACTTGACAGGAGATTCGAACCACCTATGAGACAAACCTCTAGGCATGTCTGTGAGGGAGTTTCTAGATCAGGTTATTAGGAAAATCCACCCTCAATGTGGGCTGTACCGTTTCATGGCCTGACCTCCCAGACCAAATAGAAAGGAGGAAGGGAGGAGTTGAGTACTAGCATGCTGCCCCTGTCTGTTGTGGAATAATCATTCTGTACACTCTGTGAATATATATCGCTATGATTGGTTTAATGAACAAGCTGACTGGCTGATAGCTGAACAGGATAAAGTTAGGTGGGAAAGCCAAACTGGAATGATGGGATGAGGAAGGGCAGAGTAAGAGGTGTCGTCAGCCAGATGGAGAACAAGTTGGACACACAAAATGGGATAGAGGTAAAAGCCATGAACACACAGATGAATAGAAATGGGTTAAGTTGTAAGAGCTAGTTAGTAATAAGCCTGAGCTATTGACTGAGCATTTATAATTTATATTAAGCCTCTGAGTCAGTTATTTGGGAAGCACCTGCCAGTTGTTTGGGAGCAAGCATTCTGGACAGGGAAGTTCCACCTATATCTGTCTGCCTCCTGACTGCAGCTGTCATTATGTGATCAATAACATCCATACCAGCCTTCCCTGCCATGATGGACTTTATACCCTAAAATTTCTGAGCTGGAATAATCCTTTCCTCCCTTAAGTTACTTTTGTCGGGCATTCTATCATTGCAACAGCGAGAGTGACTAATACAAAGCTTACCTTTTGGGACAGCCCCAAATAGTTCTTACTAATCAGTGTCATTGAGAGGGACCTTTTTCAACTGAAGAGGTTAAACTCTATCACCTTTTCAGTTTCTCGGTGAAGAGCAGGAACTGATGCTGTGTGGACACAGTGTTTTCATATAGAATGGGTGTCCCAGGACCTAAGAGGCTTCAGGGCACAGGAGCAGCATCTCGGATAGGAAGCTGCAAGCCTGAACAAAGCATTGGGGCTGAAGAGAGTCAACCCAGAAACTCTAGAGTGAGCATGGAGGGAAAGTGAGGGAAAAAGCAGCCAGGCAGGCTTTGTCATGTTCTATCTCATATGAGCCTGGTCATGCTGTGAGTCTAAGGAGATGGAGGGTTGATTTGTGAGTGCCAGTAAAATTAGGAGCGCTTGTTACACGTTTGGGAGAAATAAAACAGCGTTGGGATTCCCTTAAGTATTACCTATGGTTGTCTTTGTGTTAAATGATAGAGCTGAATAATTGCAACAGATGTCCTGAAAAGCTGTTTTGGTTGTGGTGTTGTTTTATTGGCCAGTAAAGAGCAATATTATTGTTATTTTGAGAATCAGTTTTCTTTGCAAGTAGCCTGCTTCAGACAAAAAGCTAGTTAGTACAATAGTCCAGAAGGAGATAAAGGCCACTGCCGTGCTTTTAATTGTCAACTTGATACTGTATAGAGTCAGCTGGGAAAGGACTCTTGGTAAGGGATTGTTAGGTCAGGCTGGCCTGTGGTGGCCTTGTCTGTGGGTGATTATCTTGATTGCATTAACTGAGATGGAAAGACCTGCCTGCAGTGGGCAGCACCATTCCCTAGGCTGGAGGTCTTAGACTGTATAAGAGTAGAGAAATCCAGTTAACTGCAGGCAGGCATGCATTGTGTTTTGCTCTCGACAGTAGATGTGCCTAGCTGCTTCAAGTTCCTGCTGCCTTGACTCCTTCACAGTGATGAACTAGAACAAAATTGTGAGTGAAATAAACTCTTTCTTCCTTAAAATTGCTGTGTAATGGATGTAATGGTAATTCTTTGTTTTCTGTTTTTTTTTTTTTTTTTTTTGGTGGTAACCCTGGGCATCCTGGAGCTTAGAAATTCACTGTCTCTTTCACTGTCTCTGCCTCCCCAGTGCTGGGATTAAAGGAATGTGCCATCACCACTGGGCATCAGGGGGTTTTATCATAGCAACAGGATACAAAACTCAGACAACTTTTATCTTAGAAAATAAAGAGTAGGAAATACCTCTAAACTTAAGAGCTCTTAAGATCAATACATATGTTGATTTAAAAAAATTCTTTGCTTATTTTATGTATGAGAGCTCTATCTGCATGTATGACTTTATGCCAGAAGAGGGCCTCAGATCCCACTATAGATGATTTTGAGCCACCATGTGTTTGCTGGGAGTTGAACTCAGGACCTCTGGAAGAGCAGCTCTTAACCTCCGAGTCATCTCTCCAGCCCCATATATTGATTTTTAAACACATTAAATATATACACGTCTCTCCCCAATAGCCGATTAGATGTTTCTGTCATTATGTCCCCTCAGCGCCTCCATTTCAGTATGTCGTTCCTTCTCTAAATTTGCCAACACGTATTCTTCTAACTTAGCTATTTCTGCTTCAAGTGACCGTCAGATCCTGAGTACCCCCTGACATATTGCTCACTTCCTATAGCCACCAGTTCTTTAGAAGGTTTAATTTAATTTTTGATTGATTAGATTATTTTAATTAATTCTTTAATTTTCTTGGGTTGCTTTCATTTTCTTGTTTTTTCTTTTGTTCTGTTACTTTGTTGGAAAGACACTACCTCCCTAGAGAGGTAGTTTTCTAGAGATGGGACCATAAATACCTTCCCAGATTAGGGAAGAGACTTAATGAGGAAGAAAGGAAGTAACCACCTTTTAAACCACAGACAAAGATAATTATCTCCTTTTCCATTTCAAGGTCAACCTCAATTCTGAAAAGCTAAAGATCCAGGTATATTTTTTCTTTCTTTTTTTTAAAAGTATAAGTCCCGTTTTATTTTTCCAAGATCTTTTCTTCTCCTGTCCTTATGAAGCCACCTCTTTACATGGTGGAGGTTGTGGTGTAGGACCAGCAGGTCTAAATCGTGGCGGGGGTGTTCGGTCCTTCCGAGCTTCACGAGATCGATCCCTGACCACCTTGCTATGGATAACACAGCTCACACAGTAATGCAGCCTGACATAACGTTTGGGGAGCACATAAGCGTCGAAGACACTTGCTTCGGACATGTCCCGGACGGCAGTGGCCTCTACAATGTTCGGAATGACGAACTTCTTAATGGCTTTGTCGTCTTTGGGTGCATACTGGGTACAGTTCGTGCAGCAAATTAGCTGCATATGGCAGTGGGCCGTTTTCGACATGGGCCGTTGTTTCTTTTTTTGGTCATCTTGGAGCCAAGACCCGAAAGAGCTCAGGTGTATGTCTTTTTTAAAAAGCTTTATTTTTCAGCTGGGCAGTGGTGGCGCATGCCTTTAATCCTAGCACTGGGAAGCAGAGGCAGGTGGGTTTCTGTGAGTTCGAGGCCAGCCTGGTCTGCAAAGGTAGTTCCGGGGCAGCCAGAGCGACACAGAGAAATCTTGTCTTGAAGACAACAACAACAAGATTTATGTTTATTATTTTTAAAACGTGTGTGTGTGTGGATATGTGCGTGGGAGTGCGGTCGGTGCCCACAGAGGTCAACAATGGGTGTCAGATCCCCTGGAGCAGGAACAGGCAGTTGTAGGTCACCATGTAGGTCCTGGGAGTAGAACTCAGTTCCTCTGCAGAATGGTCAAGTGTGTTCAACCACTGAGCCATCGCTCCAGCCCTTGAGATTCAGGGTTAATTTTTGTTCACCCCTTTTAATTATAGGCCAGGAACTTGAATCATGCAGCTAGTTCTGTCCTGAGGTGTCCTACATGGATGTAGTCAGATTCAAGGGTTGGACCTGAAGGATGGAGCACTCTATGGCTTGCTACTAGTTGGGGTTCAGCTGGGGGTGTTGACTGGTGCTCCTTCTCAAGGCCTCTCTAACATGGTACCCAGGGAGGGAGCATTGGGATCCTTGTGTAAGGTTCTAAAACACAACGGAAGCATTCTCTTTTGGTAGAGGCAGTCATCAGCCTACCCAGGGTCCAGAGAGGTGGGGTGTGGGTTCCACCTTTGGATGGCAGGAATATTGCATTCCCATCTTGGAAGAGCAGGTGGGAACGGGAGATACTTCTGTGACTGTCTCAGGAAGCTACAGATTCCAGAGAGGTGGAGTGCGGGTTCCACCTTTGGATGGCAGGAATATTGCATTCCTGTCCTGGAGGAGCAGGTGAGAATGGGAGATACTTCTGTGACCATCTCAGGAAGCTGCAGTTTGCCGCAGGTACTGTCTTACTTACAGCTGCCCCCCTCAGCTGTGTCACAGATAGAGCCTGGGTGGGAGGAGCTTTGGAAGATGCTCTCTGTGTATCTGTTCCTCAGTGTCTCTCTTCTCCAGTGCTTCCCATCCCCTGTGCATAGCGAATGCAGAAATGGATCGCCTGGCACGTGGCCGAAACAGAGCCATTTGGCTTCACTCTACCTTGATACTAAATTTGTGTCTTTGCACAATCATCTCCTCCATGACACACTGCTCAGCGGCTTCCTGGTGTTTGTGTCAAGACTGAATGACAACAAGAAGAGCAATTCATTGAATGGTCTCTTAGAGAATCTCCAGAAGGGCTTGAAGACCAATTTCGTATTCTCAATGGAAATGGTCTACATACCCAAGAAGGTCACCCGGCTCTGTACTTCAAGATGGCATGGTGCATGCAACTCTAACTTGCACAGGCCTTGGCAAATTTTATTTTGTTCTGTTTTTGACAAGATATCACTATGTAGCCCTGCCTGCTTTGGAATCCAATCTGTAGAGCAGGTTGGCCTCAAGCTCTACCTGCTTCTGCTCCTGAGTGCTGGGATTCTAGATGTTCATTGCCACTCCCAGTCTAGCTGTTCTATTCCATCGGTTCTCAGAGTTTTGGAGGAATTATTGCGGGGGAGGGGTCTTTCCTAAAAAATATGTAAATTCACAAATCATGTTTCTAACCTGGACCAGCAGTTTCAGTGTTTAGCAAGATGTTTAGAAGATGGAGATAAGAGCTTGGAGCAGGGACCGAGTAGACTGTTTACAGATAAGCATCTTCGTTATTACTCATATATGATTAAGCTATTTTGTAGTCTGACAAAGTCCTGAATGCAAGTCAGAAACTAGAAAGTTTGCAAGGCCATATTTTATGAGGCCATCAGACAAAGGAACATGTGGGTGTGAATATACCCAACTCTAGGATTGTCCCATGAGTTATGGATTCTTCCTGTCCCCTCTTGGCTGGCAGCTTGATGTGTGTCGGAATGCGGCTTGCTATGTCAGTGCAGCTTCTAGCTGATCTGGAGCCAAACATTCTGCACATCTTTCCTCTCAGCCTGGGCTAGTCCTGGCTGGTGTCAGATAATCGAGAGGGCAGAAGATGGAGTTTGCCAGTGTCTCACAGCCACCAGCTTGTTTTCCCATCCTAGAGTAGAAGAATCATTTTCTTATGTTCTGAATTCAGCCAAGCATTATTTGCATGAGTATCCGTATGGAAATTCTTAAAAAACTTCCTGATGGGGCTGGAGAGGTGGCCCTGACTGATCTTCTAGAAGATCCAGGATTGATTCCTAGCCTCCATGTGGCAGCTCACAACAATCTGTAACTCCAGTTCTAGGGGATCCAGTGCCTTCTTTTGGCATCCCTAGGCCCTAGGCATGCATGTATGCACACATGTACAAATAGGTAAAGCACCCATATGCATAAAAATATAGTTAAATGAATAAGTAAACGTTTGTGCCACCACACCTATATTAAAAAGAGAAAAGAAAGAAAGAAAGGAAGGAAGGAAGAAAGAAAGAAAAAAAGACTTCATAAGTCCTGTTGCTGAGACTCTTCATTTAGGAGTTTGGCTTGGGGCCCAGGAGATATTTCCTTCAGCTGTAAATCACACTTGGCTCTGTTGAACCTAGCTCCACTCCCTTTCCCCTTAAATCCTTCTTCCTCTGTTTCTGATTGCTTCAAATTGAGGTGGGGGGTGTGGGTAAGCAGTACTGAGGGACAAAGACAGACATAAGCCTCCTTCTCCAAACTACCTTCATTCTATTTAGCATGGACCTGATTTTTTAGCTTGGAGGTTATCTGGCCAAGAAAGGACCCAAATTAGACCCAAGTGAACAGTTTTGCCAGTACCCTGTTCTTCATCCTCAACTGTCTTGTTGGGCAGGTTTTGTGGGAAGCAGTCCGACAATGCAAATAGTCCTTTAGGGACATCCCCAAGGAAGTGAGGGGAGAGAGCTTCCCCAAGCTAGGGAGGTGAGGACTATCTGGTGACCTTTCTTTCTTTCTTTCTTTCTTTCTTTCTTTCTTTCTTTCTTTCTTTCTTTCTTCCTTCCTTCCTTCCTTCCTCCCTCCCTCCCTCCCTCCCTCCCTCCCTCCCTCCCTCCCTCCCTCTTTCTTTCTTTCTTTCTTTCTTTCTTTCTTTCTTTCTTTCTTTCTTTCTTTCTCTCTCTCTTTCTTTGAGACAGGGTCTCTCTGTGTAGTTCTGGCTGTCTTGGAACTTCTTCCACAGCTCTGACTGGCCTCCGTCTCCCAGAGATCCACCTGTCTTTACCTCATGAATCCTGGATGATTGACTCAAAAATCAAGACACTCTTCTCATTCTGTCAGTTTTTCATTTTCACTTTCATATTTTAGTTACTATTATTATTACTATTTATTATTGTTGTTAGAGACAGACTCTTACTCTGTAGCTCATCCTAGCCTGTTACTGTATATCCAAGGCCTGGCACTCTCCTGTCTCAGCCTCCTGGGACTGCTATGTATTCCAGGCCTGGTATTCTCCTGTCTCGGCTTCCTGGGATTGCTTTGCATCCCAAGCCTGACATTCTCCTGTCTCAGCCTCCTGGGATTGCTATGTATCCGAAGCCTGACACTTTCCTGTTCCAGCTTCCTGGGATTGCTCTGTATCCCAGGCCTGGCATTTTCCTGTCTCAGCTTCCTGGAATTGCCTGGCCGACTAACAAGGCTTTCTGAGGTTGATTCACTGTCACCAAGACAAAGAGAGCAAAAATGCTCCTGTTGTTTGTGGCTGAGGTAGAGTCTGGATTTTTCTTACTTCCAAAATTATTTTTTTTAATGGTCTTGGATTTCCTTGTTTAAGGTCTAAAAATGGACCGAGTCTCTTAGTTATGTGTATAGTGAAGGGCTTATAAAGAAACCTGTAAGCCGCCATACCTTCCCATGTGCTTTGTTGTTACTTTCAAGAACTACAATTCCCAGAATCCTAGGAAGTCACCCGGTGTTTGGGCAGGTGGAGATTACAGGTTAATTTAGGGTATTACATTCTCCCCTAGAGTTGTATCCTGGGTCAAATCCTTGACTCTCTGATGGGTAGTATCAGCTTAATGGTACTCAGATAGGAATTATCATTTAGTCATTGTATCGACGACATAAGAGCCAATAGTCATTAGCAGAAGCGGAAGGGCCCAAGACCCTGTGATGGATAATATTTCTTTATTCTGCAGCAAACAGACCATGTGTCCTATCATATTGTAGAACTATTTTAGCTAGTAAATCGACCTGTTGATAAGTCTGAGCTCACGTTTCCTAGTATACCAGTTGGCATTATAGGCAGCCAGTTTGTCTCCTATGTCAGGGAGTTTCCTTTTGACTTTGCATTTCAGCCTGTTAAGGGGGTAGAGATGATGTACTCTCTTCTAGAGATGATGTACTCTCTTCTGTAACTGGTGAAACTAGGGCATTGGTTGGCAGGGCCCAGGAGGGCTGAAAGGCTAGTCAAAGGCTGGGCAATGGGGCATGTGAAGCATCTGATTAGCTGACCCAGCGGAAGAGACAGGGAGCAATCACATCAGCTTCCAGCAAGTCCAGAGCTCAGCAGTTTGTAGTCCGAAGGTGCTCCCTGGATGGTGTCTGTCAGTCAAGTGGAAATCTGCTGAGAGAAATATAGACTAGGGACAGAAGTTAAATTTTAGGAACTGAAAGGAAAACCCTACATTTGGAACTTTTACTTTTCCAGAGTCTGTTTGACCTGTGACAGGTAGATCCAAGCCTTATGACCAAAGCTTATATGAATTTTAGTCTATCAGAGAAGATAAAAAATTCTAGGTATATTAGCATTGCCATTGTACTGAAATCCACAGTGTAGGAAAAAAAAAAACAGTTAACAGGTGTTTGTAAAAGAGCCAAAACAGGTTTACACCTTGGAGTCATATCAAAAGCTACGGCTTCAGGTTAAAATGCATGAGCTAATTTTTTTTCCTGGAGAGTCAGGTATATAGATTTGGACAGAAGTGTTTTAAGCTTGAT